GAGGTGGAGCAGTATGGTATGGTGCGAGCGAATCCGTTCAGGTGCAGCCGCCCCTGCATGTGCTGCTCTCTCTCGGTGCCCACTGTTTCTGCGCGGGAGAAATCATTCAGGTGCTGCAGGCCCAGCCTGGAGCTTGAGGTGGAGGCAACGTGCTGGGTGGGGCATCTGACAGGTGAGAGAGAGGTGGGCCTGCATGGTACGAGGCGAGGGGAGCAGCTGATGCCCATTTGTTGCACGCCTGGCGTTCGAGATGCTGCTGGTGCAGCGGCCCCTGCTCATGCTGTTGATTTTGGGGAGATTTTTCATGTGCTGTTTGGCGCCCAAGGCAGCAGAGACTGGTATGACATGGCAGGGAGAGGCAGAAAAAGACGACGTTGTTGGGTTGGGTCAGACAGGGAGAACAGGTTCCTCCCTCCTTCTGTGTGCTCCTCCCTCCTCCCTCCTCCCTCCTCCCTCCTCCCTCCTCCCTGCTCCCTCCTCCCTGCTCCCTTCTCCTGCTCGCTGCTCCCTGCGCCATGCTCCCTGCACTCTCTCCGCAGGGACTGGGACGTGGAGCTTCTTCACATGCTGTTTGCCGCGCAGGCAGCAGAGACTGCCGTGCATGCCATGGCAGGGAGCGGCAGGGGAAGAGACGGAATGGGAGAGGGAGCAGCAGAGGCAATGAGGGCGGTGGAGTCGTTCGAGCATCATGCAGCCCGTGTCACCACTGCTGCCCGCAAGGTGAGGCATTGCTTTCCCAGAGGTATAGGAGAGGGGTTTTGAATGCCGGAATGTAGGGACAGCAAGGGCAGTGGAGTGGAGTCGTTTGAGCATCATGCAGCCCGTGTCAACACTGCTGCCCACAAGGTGAGGCATTGTTTTCTCAGAGGGACAGGAGGAGGACTTCGAATGCCAGGATATAGTTGCCAGCACTGCCAGTTCATGCGGCAACAACAGGGCAGTTGCGTTGCCTGGTTACTGACTCTTCGAGCTCATAGTGTTGCTTGTTGCTTCGCTGCCTTGATCTCCCTGCGGCTCAGATCTGGATGGGCTACACGGTGCGCTCGCTGCTTCTCTTCTCGCCGCCTCCAATCCGCCTTCCCTGTCTCGCATTCCAGCGGATGAGGAACGTCCGGCAGGCAGCCGTTGAACCCCTGGATCGCTCACCCTTGTCTTGCGCTTCTCGTGATCTCTCCCTATCTCCCTGCGGCTCAGATCTGGATGGGCTACATGGTGCGCTCGCTGCTTCTCGCTGCCTCCGAGCCACCTTCCACCACGAATCACAGTCCAGTGGCCGATGAGGACAGCCTGGCAGCTGTCACTATGGCCTGCCTTCAGCTCCTAGCGAAGCATGATACCGCTGCTGCTGCTGCTGGTGAGGTTCCTGATGCTAGTGCTGATCCTTTCGCTGGTGCTGGTGCTGTTGCTGGTGATGACGGGTCGAATGCTGGTGGTGGTACCACAGCATCTGTAGCACCATCAGCACCCCCGGCTGTAGCAGTGATGGAGGCCTTGCTGGCGGCTGTAGCCAAGCATCTGCCGCCCCAGGGCACGGAGACGCACGGCATGGCGCGTCCTTTTCTGCTGGACGCGTCTCCCATGAGTGACGTGGACAAGCGGACGGCACGGGCGCTGCTGAAGCGGAAGGATGTGGGGGAGGTGGGATCTGGTGGTGGTGATGATGGTGCTGCTGCTGCCAACGGTGCTGCTGCTTCTTCTCCTGCTGCTCCTGCTGCTGCTGTTGCTGCTGATAATAGTGATGGTTCTGCCACTGTTACTGCTGCCACTGCTGCTGCTGCATCTGCTGGCCTGAAAGGAACAGAGTCAGAGGAGGAGCACCTGGGACAAAAGGGACAGGGGAAGCCAGAAGGGGGCAGCACAGCAGAAACGATAAGCTTGCCTTCCAGAAGGAAAAGGAGGCTGCTTAGTGGGGATGGGGCAGGGGCTGAGGAGCAGGAGCAGGAGGAGGGTACAGGGATGGAAGAGGAGAGATTGCAACAGCTAGGAGGGCTTGGTGTGGAGGGTGAGGGGCGAATGACAGGAGATAAGGGAGATGGAGGTTTGTCTGGGGAGGGTTTAGCTGAACGAGGTCTAGATGCTGATTTTGCTTCGGATTCAGACACTACATTCGATGGTCTAGATGCTGATTTTGCTGCTGAGATGGATGCTGAGCTGGACGCACAGGCGTCTGACGTGGCAGCGGCGGCAGTGGGAGTGCTGGCCTCTGATTGGAAGCAGAGGGCGCAGGTTGTGCGTGATTGGCTGGACGACTGGCAGTGGCGGCTGGCAGTGCTGAAAGCTGATTGGCTGGGTGTTCGTGCTGGCGGTGGGAAATTGGAGGAGGGGGTGTTGCAAGAAGAAGAAAATCTGGAGAGAAGAATGCATGAGGAGGGGGAGGTGGAAAATGAAGACGAGGCGAGTGGTTCTGAGCAGGAGAGTGGATTGAAGGGACGTGGGAGAAAGGGAGGAGAAGTGAAAGGGCAGGCAGGGAAGGGGAAGGAGCGGAGACAGCGGAGTGATTGGTCGGCATGGGGGTGGCACGAGGTGGTGGCGTGGATGCGAGTGGATCCCTCTGCTCTCATCTCCTGGTGAGTTGTAGCATTATGTTCCCTGGTTCATCCTAGCAACCCTTTGAATTCCTATGATGCGCTGCTGCGTGGCTGGGAAGTATTAAAACACAAGGGAGGGATGGCACGAGGTGGTGGCGTGGATGCGAGTGGATTACACGATTCTCTCCGGGTCATTCTTTAGGTCTCTGATGCGCCCATTCATGTTCCTTGGGACGTCTCAAAACACAAGGGAGGGATGGCACGAGGTGGTGGCATGGATGCGAGTGGATTACACGATTCTCTCCGGGTCATTCTTTAGGTCTCTGATGCGCCCATTCATGTTCCTTGGGACGTCTCAAAACACAAGGGAGGGATGGCACGAGGTGGTGGCATGGATGCGAGTGGGTCTGCTCTCATTTCCTAGTCCGCTCATTCCGTCGGTTCCCCCTGTTCTCCTTGTTCCCCCTGTTCTCTTTGTTCCCCCTGTGCCCCCTGTTTCCCTTGTCATAATGCAGCTGCCTGTCGGTGGGCGACTTTCTCTCTCTGCGCCTCACTCACTCGCCGCTTCCCACTGGCCGTGCACTCAGAAGCACGAGTGCAGCTCTTCGCGTGCCTTGCCTTAGTCTCTAGGCTGTTTCCCTCTGTTCCCCCTGTCCCTCCTGTCATGTGCAGCTGCCTGTCAGAGTGGGTGATTTCCCTCTTTGCCAGTCTCTCACTCGTCGCTTCCCACCCACTGGCCGTGCACTCAGAAGCACGAGTGCAGCTCTCTGCCTGCCTGCCTGCCTGGCTCGCCTCACTCACTCCTGTCCCCATGTTCCTCCTGTCCTGTTTCCCTCGTTCCTCTCTTCAGCTGCCTGTCGGTTGGTGATTTCTCGCTCTGCGCCGCACTCACTTGCCGCTTCCCACTGGCCGTGCACACAGAGGCACGAGTGCAGCTCTCTGCATGGCTCGCCCGTCACGATCAATCCAGAGTCTTCCGGTGTGACAGTGGGACACACAGTAGCAGCAGCAGTGTTGCTGCTGGCAGTAGCATGGCAGCAGGGAGTGGAAGTGGGGAAACGGGTGGGGAAGCTAGCAAAGAAGGTGGAAACAACAGTGGGACCAGTGGTGCGAGTGGAAGAGGTGGTGGGAGCAGGAGTGGGTTGGAGAGGGTGGGGAGTGTGGAGGCGAGGGAGAGGCGAGTGAGGGAGAACGAACAGGTGGACACGCTATTCTCGCTCTTCTTCGCTCCATCACAGGCCATGTGGGAGATGTTCCCCGCTCTTGACATGGTGGCAGTGCTGCTGGATGCAGCAGCAACGCAGGCTCGCACCGCCCCTGACGCCCTTGTGCTGCTCGACCAGGTATTGCATGATTCTCATTTCCATTCCAATCCTCTCTCTTTCCGTGCCAGCATGCCATCTGCATGCTTCAACTTTGGAGACGTCTCAGAAGGTATTCGCGTTCCTCTCTTTCGTGCAGCATGCACTTGCTCCAACGGTTTCTTCTCCCACTTGCTTCTTCCCCGACCAACGCTGCAGGCTCGCACCGTCCTGACAGCCTGGCAGGCGGACCAACAACGACTGAAGGAAGACAGCAAGGGCAGGGGGTGCAAGGAGCATTCGGGGAAGCATCAACAGCAGCAACAGCACCAGCAGCAGCACCAGCAAGAACAAGAGGGAGATAGTAGCAACAACTTCAACTTAGTGCAGTGGGCAACGGCGGAGCGGCTGTTGCAGAGGCTGGAGGCCATTCAAAATCAGGACCCCACCACGCCTCTCCCGAGCCTGCTGGCTGCCGTGCAGCCGCACCTGTCACCGTCCCCGGGCCTGTCAGGCTCGGCAGGGGTGCGGCGCGGCCCCAAGGCTCGGGCGGTGATGGCGCTGCAGCAGGTGGTGGCAGATTGCGAGGCGGGCACAGCGCAATTCGTCAGTGGTACGCGGATGATTGAACATGAGTACGGATATGCCTCGTCTTTCAGTTGTATGTGAAAATTTAAGGGTCATTCTGGCCTCAAGGCATGGTCTGTGATGGCGTTGCAGCAGGTGGTGGCGGATTGCGAGGCGGGGACGGCGCAATTCGTCAGCGGTACGCATGGTGTAGGATGTTGACTAGCTATGCTGTGGGTATGGCTTTTGTTCAGGTGTGATGGGGTATCGACTCAGGGGCCATTGGGCCCCAAGGCTCGGGTGGTGATGGCGGATTGCGAGGTGGGCACGGCACAGTTCGTCTCGTCAGTGGCATGTGGTTTTCCGTTCATGAATTTCCGTAATTATTCATTTATTTAGTTATTTATTTCCCTTATCGATTTCGCACCCTGGAAGACCCGAGCCATCCATTGCCATCCCCTCTTCCCGTACCCCTCCCTCCCTCCCCCAACCAGGCAAGCTCCACAATTTCATCCGAGCCTTGGAAGACCCCGAACCAATGCCCCTCTGTCGCTCCCCTCCTCCCTCCCACCACCTTCCCTGCCGTTTGTTTCTGCCGCTCCAGGCAAGCTACACAATCTTATCCGAGCCTTGGAAGACCCCGAACCAGCAGCAGACCCTCTCTCCCAACTCATCCCCGCACCTGCCACGGCCGCTGGCCAGTCAGGGTCCGCCACGTGTCCCCCTCCCGGCAGCGGGCTTGGCTTTGGCATTGGGCTGGACGTGATCTTGCCAGAGCAGCCTGCTACAGACGCTACAGCCGATGCTGCTGCAGCCACAGGAGACGCTACAGCTGCTGCTACAGCCGGTGCTACAGCTGCTGCTAGTGCAGCCGGTGTTTCTGGGCTGAGTACGGCACCAGCAGCAGTAGCAGGGGTAGCAGGGGCAGGGGCTGTAGCACCAGCGGCTGTAGCAGCTGCTTCTGCCAGTGCAGCAGGTGCTGCTGGTGCAGGTAGTACGGGTGAAAGGGATACCCTGGGTGTTGCTGCTGCTGCTGGTGGTGATGGTGCTACTGCTGCTGCTGCTGCTCCTGACGCTGCTGTAGGACCTTCCTTGTCCTCCTCCTCCTCCTTTTCTCTCTGGCGAATGTTGCATGGGGGAGGGGGAGGAGCAGGAGGAGGAGCAGGAGGAGGAGCAGGGGGTGGAGGGGGGCCAGCAAGTGTGCCTGCAGTATCTGCCCGGACCGATTCCCAAGGCTCGGTGGCTGCTGCAGCTGCGGTGGCGGGCTTAGCTTCGGCAACAGGTTCGGCGGGAGTGGGAGTGCTGGCCATGCAGGGGGCAGCAGGGTCTCCTGTGCACACCCCTCCTCTCTCCCCCCGCTGGACCCGCTCCTCCTCTAGCCTTGGCCTCTCCGCCGCTGCTGCTGCTGCTGCTGCTGCTGCTGCTGCTGCTGCTGGTGGTGGTGCATCGGTGGCAGCAGCAAGGGAAGGTGCCGGTGCTGCTGGTGCATTGGAAGCAGCAGCAGCGGCAGCAGCAGTTGAAGAGCTCTCTGAAGGAGGTTCAGCCAGGTCTGCCTCCCTCCCTCTTCCCTCCACTGCTGTTACTACTTCCTCCTCTGCTGCTGCTCCGTCTCCCCTTTCAGGACTATCGCGCTCCTCTGTAGGCGCTGTCAGCATGCCCCCTCCCTCCACAACCACCACCATCACAAGCACCCCATCTGCTGCTGCATCTGCACGCGTATCTGCTCCTCCAGCTCCAGGTGCTTCCTCAGGTGGGAATGCCAGAGCGTCTGCCCCGCTCCCTCCTGTGCTGCGATCCTCCATGCCCAGTCTCTGGCCTTTCTCTTTCAACTCTGCAAACGCCAAGCAGGCTGCTGCTGCAGCAGAGGGGCAGAATGTAGTTGGGCTTCAGTCCCTTCTAGGGTCTAGCACTGGCAGAGAAGCAGCAGGAGCATCAAAAGCAGCAGGAGCAGCAGCAGGAGGAGCAGGAGGGACCGGAGGGGGAGGAGAAAGGGGTGGAGAAAAGGGAGGAGGAACGGCAGGAGCATTATCATCATCAGCAACAGCAGCGGCAGCAGCAGGGTTGCGAGGGCCAGGGAAGCAGCCTTGGGATCATCCCAAGGGTTACCTGCCAGTCTTCTTGAACTACGTGGTTCAAATTGGGGATATAGTCGACGACAGTGACCCCAGCCACCCCTTTAACTACTTCTCTTTACTAAACATCGACCCGGTGGAGCTTTTAAGAGAGCTTGTGTTTGTGAGAGGGGATATTGCTGCTGCGTTGCATGTGGCTGGGATCATGGGTCGGGAATCCCTACCTGCTGATATCATCCCCGCAGCTCTCCCGAGCCTGCTGCCGCCTGTGCCGAGCCTGAAGCTCTGCTCCGTGGCTCGGCGCTTCCGAAGCAGACTGCTGGGCAGGTCCGGAGGAGGACCAGGGCAGGGTAGGCCCGGTAGGAGCAAGGTAGCAGGAGGAGTGGGAGGGGTGGAAAGTGCGGAGAAGCTTCTGGTGCCTTCTCCGTATGAGCCGCCGCGATTTGCACTGAGTATGGATGTGGTTCAGCTGCTTGCGAGAGATTCCATGGTGCATGCTGTGTTGGCTTGTGTGCTGGGAGCAGAACAGCAGATAGTGCAAATGCACAGACGCAAGGAGAGAGAGCGTGACATGGAAACAATAGGTGCATTTTCCGGTGGTGGCGCTCCAGCTGCTACCAGCGGTGTTGGTGGTGGTGCTGCTGCCACAGGTGGTTATGTGGCTGGTGTTGGTGGTGGTGCTGCTGCCACAGGTGGTTATGTGGCTGGTGTTGGTGGTGGTGTTGGTAGGACTAGGCCTGCTGGTGTGTTGGGAGGTGATAGGAGCAGGGGCAAGGGAGGGGGAGTGGGTGGAGGGTGGAGTGCAGTGAAGGCAGAGGAAGAGGCTGCGAAGAAACTGATGGAATATGCCCGCTTGCACTCTGCAGGGTGAGTCTAAGAAACGCTATTGGGACAGCCTAGTGTGTGGAGTGGAGTGGATTCGCATTCTGTGTTCTGAGATGTGACTCAGGCAAACATCTCATGTTCCTTCAAACATTTCTTTTGAACGTTTCTTTTGGCCCATCAGCCTAAGGCTGCTTCTCTTCGCCTGTCTCTTACTCCCCTCACTTGGACACCCCCCGCTTCCTCCCCTCAGCATTCCAATCATCCACCGGTGGGTCACTCTGCAATCTGCCATTCACTCTATCGCCATTGCTGCTGCTAAAGCACCCTCTCGCCCTCCGAAGCAGCAAGCAGCAGCAGCTGCAGCACCACCACTAGGAGGAGCCGCAGCAGGTGGGGAGGGCACAGTGGGGGAAGGAGTCAGAGGCGGGCCACTGGGTGCAGGGGTTGCAGGGATGGTGGGGGTTGCACAGCCAAGGGGATCAGAAGAGGGAGGAATGCCAATAAGGCAACAGGAGGCATTGAGAGAACAGCCCTTGGGTCGGGACAGCTCTAGCCTTGGAGGGACCTTGGCTGTGCATTCGCCTGGTAACAGTAGCAGGAAGGGCGGTAGGGGGTTTGCAGGGTCAGCTCTGCTGCTTGCAGGGCAAGAAGGAACACCAAGGAGAGTGAGAGGTGCGAGATTGCCTGGAGCAGGGGGGGTAGCAGCAGATGGTATCGGTGGGCCGGTGGTGGGTAAAGGGCCGGTGGTGGGTGAAGGACAGGTGGTTGAAGGAGGAGGAAGAGGCACAAAACGGCCTCTTGCTGTTGAAATGGATGCTGTTGAGGTGGGAAGCGGGGAGGGGGTTTCTGAGAGAAGGGGGTTTCTGTCTATGGGGGAAACAAGACACGCGAGTGCTGGTGTTGCTGAGAGAAGGGGAGCAGGGGAGGATCCAGCTCAGGGGGATCCCAGCTCAATGCCAGACCAACGAGGGTTGGCAGGAGAGGAGGGAGGAGCGACAGGAGGAGTGAGGGAGGAGCAGGGGGCTTGTGAAGGGGCAGCAGGGGTAGCAGGGGCGGAAGGGGCAGCAGGGGTAGCAGGGGCGGAAGGGGAAGCAGGGGTAGCAGGGGCGGAAGGGGCAGCAAGGGTAGCAGCAACAGCAGGGGCGGCAGAGGTAGCAGGGGCAGCAGCAACAGCAGGGGCAGCTGTGGCAGGTGGTCGGCTGGAGGCTCTGTTGACAGAGTGGGAGGATTTGCGGCCTGTGAGGATTCACCTGGAGAGGTGAGGATTCACCTGGAGAGGTGAGGATTCACCTGGAGAGGTGAGGATTCACCTGGAGAGGTGAGGAGTTAAAAAACAATGGAACAGGTCATTATTTTCTTCCAGGACGTAAATTCCTCCTGTAGGTGATTGGTTTACAGTGTTTGTTTCCTTCCTTCTTCTCCCGTCTCCCACTCCCAACTCCTTTCACCCTCTCTCCTTCCCACACTTTTCCTTTTGTTTTCGGTTTCCTCTCTCCCAGCCTGATTGCTGACTCGCGGTTGGCCGAAGCCCTTGAGCTGGCAGACACGTGGCTGCCTGAGGGGGCGCCAGATCACCTGCTGTGTCTGCTCGTGGAGCAGGCAGAGCGCTCTGATGGTGCTACTGCTGCTCACACGCACACAGCAGGAGCAACTGGAACATGGACGGCAGGAGCAGGGGCAGGGACAGGAGGAGACATGATGCGGTTTCCGAAGGTGCCTGTAACACAGGCAAGCAGGGTGCAGCAGAAGAGTCCAAGGAGTGGAGGAGTTGGGTTTGCAGGTTCTGCGGCTGCTGGTGGTGGTGCTGGTGGGGGGAGTGAGGCAGGGGGTCGCACTGGCAGTGTGGGCAAGGCCGTGGGGAAGCCGGTAACAGCGGGTGACAGCTGGCGGTTTGTGATTCGCGTGGCTGACAAGGAGCTTGCAGCGGCGCTGGCTCTGAGGTGAAATGGGGGGGTGGGGTGGGATTCCAAAAGCTCTCAAATATCGCTCACAAGGGCGGATCTGTGTGTTTCATCATGCCATGCCATTGGTTGGGTTGGGGGTTGTGGTTCTGTGACGATGCTTTTGAGTCGACTCAAAAGCTTTCATCTGTCTGTTGGGGGTTCTGGTTCTGTGACGATGACGGCAGCTTGCGACAATCACAATATTCAGAAGCTGAGCATGCGTCTGTATGTGTCCTTTTTGTGTGGGGTGTGTGTGGGGGTGTGTGGGGGTGTGTGGAGGTGTGTGGCATATGCGCTGCTGTGTCTGCATGGACTTATGTTCTCTGTACATGACTGCCTGCACTGCACCACTATAGGTACCACCACAGCTGGCAGCTGTCACCCATCCACACCGTGTTCAACACCTGCCTCTCACACCTCCCTACACACTCGCCCCTGCGCTCTCAGGTATGCTCGTTGCCTTCCGGCTTTGGAATGTTCATAGCAGACGCGATAGTATCGGTGACCCTGTAGCTCCTGTATGTGCCGCACTTTAGAATTGCATGTTGAGGGTTAGGGTAAACCTTTAACCCTAAACCCTCGTCTTTGTTGAAACATAAAATCGTATTGGTCTTGTTCCCTTGACCCTTCCCTTTCCTGTTCCCACCTCTCTCCCTTCTAACCTTCCTCCCCTCCCCACCCTCCTCCCACCTCCCCCCAAAGATCCTCACCTGCAAGTCATCTGTGGATCAGTACACTCGCATCCGCTCCATTCTCAACGACAGAACCCTTGCCACGTGGCAGCAGGTCAGTGGCTTGGCTCTTCGTACTTGTTTGTCGTCAGCTAATCAGCAACATCAGAGTCGCTTTTGAAAATTTCAAAAGTGAAAACGATTCAGCTGTCATCAGCCAAGCCGACAGTCAAGGGGTGAAAGGGTCAAACACCTTTCTCCCCTCTCTGCTCCCTATCTAGGTTCGCTCGCCACCCAGCCGCCAAGCGGCAGTGAAACAAGAGGCTGCCTTTTGAATGAAACCGGACCTGAGCCTCTCTCCTTCCCGCTCTCGCCACTTTCATTTCCAGGTTCGCGCGCTCTGCTTCCGCGATCCCGAGTCAGTTTGTCGCCAGCTAGCTGCTAAGGGAGCAGTCAAGGAGGCAGTGTCACTAGCAGAAGCACATGCTACTGCTGCTCCTGCTGCTGCTGCACCAGCAGAAACTCCAGGAGCAGGAGCTGGAGTGGAAACAGTAGCTGCTGCTAATGCTGCTGCTGCTAGTGCTGCGTGGGGAGCAGGGGCTGCTGAAGCAGCACAAAGAACAGCACTTGGAGCGGCACCAGCAGGAGCAGTAGTTGCAGCAGCAGGAGCGGCAGCAGAAGGGAGGGTGGGAGGGGCGTTACTAGCAGAGCTGAGGGGGCGCTATCTGAGTGAACTAATGGGTGGGGATCCGTTGCAGGGTGACTCGGGCCCTGCAGTGGGAATGAGATATCTGGAGAGATTGATGTTGGAAGGGGCAAAGGAGCGTGATAGCAGCAGGCACGCGGGTCAGGAAGACAGGGTCGGCATGGATGGTGGTTCTGCTGCTACTGGTGATGGGTCTGGTGTGGCTGGTGTTGGTGGTAGCACTGGTGCTTCTGCTTCCACTGCCGCTCCTGCTGGTGCCGGTGCTGCTTCTGGCGGTGGTGATAGGAGGAGCGGAGAAGAGGGGGTGGAAGCAAGGGGGAGAGTGGAGGGCAGGGAGGGAGTGATGGGTGTTGTGCTATCGGCCATGCAGTGGGCTCCGTCCCTGCACGCCAAGAAGCTCATCGTACGTATCCTCATGCGCTTGCCTCTTTCCATCCATGTGACTAGCCACCTCACCTCACCTCACCTGCCTATCGGCCATGCGGTGGGCTCCGTCCCTGCACGCCAAGAAGCTCATCGTACGTGCGCTAATGTGCCGCCTAAATAGTGTGTGCTTGTGTCTGAAAATTCTCCTCGCCTCACCTTTGCTGTCAGCCATGCGGTGGGCTTGGTCTCTGCATGCCAAGAAGCTCATAGTACGTTACGTGAAGCCACTTTGAGGCGTCTCAGTACCCACATGTTCTTGCTTCTTTCCATCCATCCATGTGCCTTGTGAGTTTCGCATCCTGCAAATATGCATCCTGCTGTCATCATTTCTTAAGTTCCTAAAAAACACATCTTCATACCCACCCCTCCCCTTCCCCCACCCCTGTCAAAAAGGTGAATTTTGTCCTCAAGCGGGCAGCAGAGGCAAGTTTGCCTTCTGCTGACGTGGCAGACGCCAGGCAGCTCCAACTAGGCCTGCAGCTTCTGGGAACCTTCCCGACGGAGTGGCAGCAGCGGCTGGGAGGGCAGCATGTGGCTGTGCTGCTGCAGCCGGAGCTTATAGTGGAGAGCCTTATAATGGAGAAACACACCTCCCTGCTGCCACAGGTAGGATGCACATTCATTCATTCATTCTGTATGTATTTTGTTACCCTATTACCGTGTGTTATCCCATGTTGTTACACCATGTTGACCCCTGTTACCCCCCAACTTATAGCCTGTCACCGCTTGTTACCTCCTCTCACCCCTTCTTCCTACGTGTCTTCCAGAGCTTTCCCAAGTTCCATGCCTTATGAAACGACACCCACCTCCTCTCTATTTTGTGGAGGTTGATTTTGACAATTCTCAGAATCTATTCTCTGTCACCCCTTCTTCCTGCGCCTCTGGCAGATCTTCGCCAAGTTTCCAGCCCTTCGCAACGACACTCTTCTCCTCTCCTACGCACGCAAAGCCCTCCTCCCCTCCCCTCTCTCCCCCTCCTCCTCCTCTTCCTCCTCCGCCTTCGCCTCTTCCTCTCCCTCCACCACCCACCCATCTGCCACCTCCCCTCCTCCTCCCCCTCCTCCTCCTCTTCCCCACCAAAACTCCCTCCGCTCCTCCGCTGTCCCCCGGCCGCCCTCCGTCCCTCCCGCACCCATCACCAGCAGCTTTCTGCGCATTCAGCAGCAAGCTTCCCGCGTCTTCCCTTGGGGGGGATCCTCTGGTGGTGGTGGTGGTGGTGCTGCTGCTGCTGCTGCTGCTGCTGCTGCTGCTGCTCCTTCTAGCGATGTCTTTGCAAGCCCTGTTCCATCCCCTCGTGGTTCCCATGGGTTAGGATGGATAGGAGGAGGGAGAGGAGGAGGAGGAGGAGGAGGAGGGGGAGGAGTGGGAGTGGGGGTGGGGAAAGGGAGTGGGGGGACAGTGGGGGTTGATCGCCCGCCGACGCTTGCAGAGGCAGCAAAGTCACGGCTTTCATCCTCCATTTCTCTGGATTCTCCTGCTCGTACCTCTGCCTCTCACTCTGCTGCCTCTGCTGCTGATGCTGCTGGTCGTAGTGGTGCTTCTGCCTCTGGTGGTGGTGGTGGTGCTGCTGCTGCTGCTGCTGCTGCTGGTGCAACCCGTTTTGGAGCACGAGGGAGGACAGTCAGCAGCGGCACTGCTAGCCTGCAAACCAGCCCGTGTCCAGGTTCACTGAACCAGCCACATGGCACAGGCACCGCTACAGCCGCTACAGCTGCTAGAGCAGCCGGCGCCCATTTGGAAGTTTCCGGGCGGCATCTAAAATCCGCCATTACAATAAGCTCCATGTCACTTCCTGAGCTGATTGGCCAGCCTGTCGGGTACCTGCCAGGTGGCCGCACGGGATTGGACGAGGTGTGCGAGGAGGGGGGTGGAGGAGGGGAGGGCGAGGAGGGAGAGGAGGAGGCAATGGGGAGGCTAGGAGCGCGGGACATGCAGCAAGGAGCGATCTTGATAGGGGAAGAGAATCAGGATAGTGAAACGAGAGCGCACCATGTGTTTCCAGACACGCCAGATGTTTCTTTATTCCAGTCGCTTGCTTCGCTGTGTTCTAGAAGATTCTCGGTGGTGAAGGGGCTGCTGGCAGTGGTGGTGGAACAGGCTGGCGTGGCTCTGGCCAAGGAGAGTGTGCCACGTGGCACCAGCCTGCTGTCGCTGACTCAGACCGCCTTCCTCTCGAAAGCCTACCTCAAAGTGAGTGAAGGGGGGGGGGGTAAGGGATACAGAGCGAAGGGAGAGTAGGGAGTGAGAGTCGGGACCAGAAGAGCTGAAAACAGCCATGGGATGGGATGGGAGTGGACTCAGAAATCACATCTTCCCACTCTTTTCAAGTCGACTCAAAAGCTGCTTCTTCTGTTCCTACCCTTCATCTCCAGGCACGGACCATTGTGAGGGACCTGCTCTTGGCATACCAGGCGCAGCTTGCCAAGCTTCTGAGGCGCCTCAAAAGTCTTTTCCCTTCCCACGTCCTCTGGGGTCTGTTCCCAAGTCTGCTTCTTCTGTTCCTACCCTTCATCTCCAGGCACTCACCATTGTGAGAGACCTTCTCTTGGCATACCAGACGCAGCTTGCCAAGCCTGGACCTGCCACCCGAACCACAGGCTCGGCACGCGAGCCACCAGCCCAGGTCCGGGCAAGAGGCTCGGCGCAGGTTCGGGGGCGAGATCCGGCGCAGGTTCGGACACAGCTGAAGGTGCTGAAGCAGCTGCTGGTTCGGGCAGAGGCTTGGATCGCACGGGTGAAGCTTCTGAGAAGGTTCCTGGCGGATAATGTGGGGGTGGGGATTGACGAGCTTGGTGGGGGTGACCCTGACTTCCAGCCTGGTTCTCCTGGGTTATTTGCCTCTCTGTACATTCACTCAGTGATGGGAGGAGGAGAGAAGGGCGGGGCAGTAGGAAGGGGAGGAGGACGGGAATCGGGGGCAGGAGGGGGAGCAGCGGGAGGGGATATGGCTTGGAGTGTTGAGATACAGCAGAACCAGCAGCAGTCGCAGCAGCAGCAGCGGCACCACCACCACCACCACCACCACCAGCAGCCAAGGTCGATGCAGCAGCAACAACAGCACTGGCACGGTTCGTCACAGGCCCGGTTGCATCCCGAAGCAGAAGCAGAGGCACGGGAGGCGTCCCTGTCCGCGACCCTGGCTCTCAGGGACGGGTTGGTGAAGGAGGAATGTTATGAGCTGGCAGCTGCTCTGTGTGACACGTGTCATCATGTGGACCCATGTCCTGTGTACAAGGCATGGGCGATGTCCCTCATTCGAGTGAAGAACTACACCCAGGCGCGGCACATTCTAGAGTGAGTATGAGAGAATGTATACCTTACTATACACATATCGCTTCCTTTTCTTTTGTGAGCTATGGGTGGGTTGCTGCTGCTCTTTATAAGGCGTGTCATCATGGTATATGGACCCCTGCCCTGTGTACAAGGCGCAGGCACTATTCATACCCCTCTTCCCTTCTCTTCTCACCCTTCTTTCCCCCCTACTCCAGGCGACTCTTCCTCTTCCTCAACCCAGCCTCCTCTTCAGCTCCAACCACCGCTTCTGCTGCTTATGCTACTTCTGCTCCTGCTGCCGCTCCAGCTGTTGCAAGCACTTCTGGCAGGCGCGTTTCCTCCTCCTCCACCTCCTCTTCTTCCTCTGCTGCAGCTGCTGCTGCTGCGAGTTCACAAGGAGTTGTGGTGGGAGCGGGAGGAGCAGTGTCAGCAGCAGGAGGGGGGAGAGAGGTGCTGAGGAGTCGCGGAGGGATGGGGGCAAGCACAGGACAAGCAGGAGGGGCAGGAGGGGCAGGAGGAGCGGGAGCGGTGGGAGGTGTGGGAGGAGGGGGTGGAGGGGAGAGGATGGCAGTGGTGGCATGGGAAGTCGTACGCTTCATCGAGACTTGTATTCCTGCTGATGTGCCCGGGACTCAGCTGCTGTGAGTAGCATTCTTTGGATGGGTTGCCGTTGAAGCTCCCATTAGCACAATGGAATCACATTTGAGAGATTTCATAAGTGATTCCAGAGCAACGCATTCTGCTTGGCTGCTATCTACATGCGTATCTATCACATGCTGTTTTCAGAACCACGTGTACACGTGGCTATCTACATGCGTATCACATGCTGTTTTCAGAACCATGCAACTCAAAACATCCCTCTTCCTTTTCCTCTCCTATTCTCTTGTCGCCCATCACCTCTCACCTCTCAGTCTATCCCAGGCAGAGGAGGCCGTAGAGAGTCGATTTTTGAGTCACAGATTCCTTCAAAAATCGACTTACTACACGCAGAGGAGGCCGTAGCAGATTCCTTCCTTCTATGGCTCCCTCACAGCAGAACCACGTCTTATACTTCTTGTTTCTTTTTCCGTCCCGCTTTTTCCTCCTCTCCCATCACCACTCAGCCTATCCCAAACAGAGAAGGCAGTAGCAGACTCTTTCCAAGACTCCCTCACAGCAGAGTCCTACCTGGGCGCTCTCACCTCCCCCATGACACAGGATGCCATAGGTCTTTGTTCTTTCTCCCATATCCTTGCGTCTGTCTGTGCCATCGTGTTTCAGTCTATCCCAAACAGAGAAGGCAGTAGCAGATTCTTTCCAAGACTCCCTCACAGCAGAGTCCTACCTGGGCGCTCTCACCACCACCTCCACCCTCTTCAGCTCTCCCACCCTCCGCCCCTCCTCCTCCTCCTCCACCTCCTCCTCCTCCGGCCGCCCATCCTCCTCCTTAGCACCACCATCCACTGCAACTGCATTCGGTACCAATGCTGCTTCTAACACTCCTTCCGGTCCTGCTGCTGCTGTCACTTCTGCTGGCATTTCTCCGATCCTAGGGGCCATGCCCCCTCCTGCTACATTGCCATATGATGATGGTAGAGAGGGAGGAGGGCGAGAACGTTCAACATATGTCCGCCAGTCAGCGTTCGAGGCGCAGGGATCTGCCTGGTCAGGACACGGAGAAGGGGAGTCAAGAAGGCGAGGCGAGGGGCAAGGAGAAGGGAACAAGGGGCGAGAGGAAGGGCAGGGAGAGGGGGTTGCGGTGGTGGAGGATGAGGAGAGGGAGACGTTTTCATACCTGGATGATGAGCGGTTCAATGAGTGCACTCAGCTGCTTAAGCGGGTGGGTGGGTGCTTGCTTTTTCGTGGCTTTTTCAGAAAATCAGCTGAGCAGTTGCGCATGGTTGTTTAGAATCCTAATATTCCCTTCAGAGACTCTCTCAAGTTGCCTTTGGGCCTTTTCTTCTGGACGTTGCATGTATTATGCTACCTGCTTTCAAGGTCTTGAACAGTGGCTTATCAAAATGTTCTCGCTGCTCGCTCCTTGGTCCCTCTCCCATTACTCTCACCTGCCTGCCTTGCTCATACCATTTCAGTTGACTCAGAAGTTTGTTTCGCTCCTCGTTCTTTTCTCTCATTACTCGTACTTGCCTGCCTTTCTCATACGGTCTTACCCTACTTACTCTGTCTGTCTGCCCTCGTTATCCACCCACCCACCTGCTCATCTTCCCTGCAGCATGCCCCTCGGGATCTGCTCCCCTTCATGTTCAGACACGGCCGCTACCGCTCCGCCTGCTGGCTTATCTTCTTCCCTCCTCCTCCTCCCCACCCTTCCTCCTCCTCCTCCCCTTCTCTCACATCCACCCCCGAGCACAACAGCATCAGTAGCAGCAGCACCACCACCACCGCCACCGGCACTCTTCCTAACCCCTTGGCACCTCAGCCACCTGCTTTTTCGCTCAGCCCGGCTTGGCCCTTCCTGTCCTCATTATTAGACTGGGATCCGTTAAAGTCAGAGCACGCTACTGTAGAAGAGCTGTGCGCACTGTGTGTATCATACGGAGCTGTCGAGGTGCTGGAAAGAGTGGTGGCAGAGGCACTAGGAGGGAGTGCGGCAGGAGGAGCAAATGGTGCTGGTGGTACTGGTGCTGCTGCTTCTGGTGGTGGTGGTGGTGCTGCTGCTGCTGCTGCTGGTTGGAGTGTTATATCTGTTGCACCATCATCATCAGCAGCAGCATCGCCAGCGTCAGCAGCATGGGCGAGTGCCAATGTCAAGTGCATGGCGGCTCTTTCCCGCATCTGCACTTTCTTTGAGTCTCAAAAGAACTTCCACTTCCTATTCCGATTCCTTGTAAGCCCTACTCCTCATCTCTCTCTTTTTTTCTTCCCCTTTCCATTCCTTGTATGTTGCATTCGTCCCCGTTACTGCCTGCGCATTCTCTTTCAGTGCTTTTTTTTTTCTCTTTTTGGGGAATAAGAATAAAACCACACTTCCTCTTTCTATTCGTGGTGAACCCAGGTTAGCCCGGGTCACACTGTGTGTGTTCTTACTTATCTCAAACATCGGCCAACAAAATACATTGTGTAGCAGACAGGCACTGTGCACCTTCTCCAGTTTTAGACCGACAAACCAATTGACCCCTCTCCACCAGCTGCTGGCCCGAGATTACGCAGCAGCAGGTCTGTGCACCATTTAAACCTCTCTCTGGCCGATCCAGTCTTTCCTATTCTTCCTCGTTCCCCTCCAACCCCTCCGCCCCCTCCACTCTTCTCTCCGTCAGCTGTTAGCCAGGGACTATGTGGCAGCAGGGCTGTGCAGCATTTAACCCTCTCTTGTTAATCCATTCGTTTCTGTTCCTCCTCTTTCCCCTCCACTCACCCCCCCTCCTCCCGTCCTCTCTCCATCAGCTGTTAGCCAGGGACTATGTGGCAGCAGGGCTGTGCAGCATTCAGGCTTTCCAATCCCCAAATCCTGTTTTTGAGTCGACTCAAAAGGCTTTCCAATCCCCAAATCCTGTTTTTGAGTCGACTCAAAAGGCTTTCCAATCCCCAAATCCTCTTGCCTTCATGTTCCCTGTCCAATCTTCGCTGTCCACTCTCCCCTCCTTCAGCTGCTAGCCAGGGACGACGTGGCAGCAGGGCTGTGTAGTTCGTGTCAATCCCACTCTTTGCCTCCTTCTTCCCCCGCCACTCTCAACCCCTCCACCATACAAGTTGATGGACGTAAGGCCTCCGCAGCCCACCTGTCTGCGTTCGACAACTTCTTCCCCCGCCACTCTCACCCCCTCCACCCCTCCTCTCATCCCCTCCTCTACCAGCTGCTAGCTAAAGACTACGTGGCAGCAGGGCTGTGCAGCATCCAGCTCTTCCTCTACTCGCCCGATCTTCGCACCGCAGCAACGCACCTGCAGCAGGCACAGGTGAGATCAGTTTGAGTTACCTTTGTGAATGGTCAGACAGACGTATCGCAGATGCAGGCTGCAGCATCCAGCACTTCCTTTACTCACCCGACCTTCGCACCTGCAGCAGGCACAGGTGAGTGGGACAAGGCAGTTGCAGCTGAAACCGGCCGCAGGTTGGATTGAGCTGGTTGGAGCTGACCCTTCGTCTGTCTCAGTTTTGGTGTCTGTGTGTCTGGGTGGGTGATTTCGCAAAATTTACATGCCATGCCCAGATTCATTTTTATGTGTCTGCGTGACCCTTCCTTCCCCCATGCCCCTCCTCAGCTGCTCTTTGAGAAGGGCACAGAAGCCAGGCAGAACGCAGCAGCGGATTTGGCAGCATCGGTCGGCCCTCTTGCTGCTGCCGGCAAGAGACTCGCCGTCTCTGCCGCCTCCTCTTCCTCCAATGCTACTGCTGCTGCAAACACCTCTGGTGCAGGAGGAGGAGCAGGTATATCTGGAGCAGCAGGTGCCAGCAGTAGTGGCAGCAGCAGCAGCAGCACCTCCACAAGCAGTAGCAGCGCAGCTGCCAGCCTGGCACTGATCAGCAAGCAGCGGGCGGCGACAGCAAAGATATCGGACGAGGATCTGCTGAGGCTGCAGCGGCTGGCAGAGCTACAGCTGGAGGTGGTGCGGGTGGTGGGGGCGTGCAGTGGCAGGGACAGCAGCGGCGTGCCTCTCGTGGGGAGTGCGAGGAAGGCGCCGTGGAGCGTGGCGCTGTTTGGTGCTCCCAGCGATGCGCGGACCAGCAAGTGAGTGGCTCTTTGGGTTTTTGTGTGTGGGGGTGTATGGTGAACGCGTGCAGTGGCAGGGACAGCAGCGGCGTGCCTCTCGTGGCGCTGTTTGGTGCTCCCAGCGACGGCTGGACGAGCAAGTGAGTTGGTTGTTAACAAGGTGACTTTTGAGTCGACTCAGCACCTCGTTTGGTGCTCCCAGCGACGGCCGGACGAGCAAGTGAGTTGGTTGTTTGCTTGGGAAAATGCATGTGTGTGTGTGTGCGTGTGCGTGTGTGTGTGTGTGTGTGTGTGTGTGTGTGTGTGTGTGTGTGCGTGTGCGTGTGCGTGTGCGTGTGCGTGTGCGTGTGCGTGTGCGTGTGCGTGTGCGTGTGCGTGTGCGTGTGTGTTTGTGCGAGCTTAGCTCTGATCGCCAAGCAGCGGGTGGCGACAGCAAAGATCTCGGACGAGGATCTTCTGAGGCTGCAGTGGCTGGCAGAGCTGCAGTGGCTGGCAGAGCTGCAGGTGCTGCAAATTCATTTACCATACCTCCTCACCCTGCAGCCTTCCGCTTTTCCCTTTCCTTCCCCCCCCCTTTCCAACAAACAGGCGGCGTGTTGAAGTGACAGAGTTTCTGGTCGAGAGAGAGTTCGACCTGGCGCTGGAGGTGATCAACTTCCTGCACCTGCCAGCTGTGCAGATCTACGCCAGCGTGGCAGCCTCGCTGGCGGAGAAGCAACAACACCGCGTGCTGTTTGAAGGGTTGATGGACCGGATCAAATACATGCTGCCGCCCGCTGACATGGACGAGGTGAGCTGTCAGCTGTGGGAGATGAGTGCATTCGTTGCTTGGGGAAATTCCTTCTTTTGCCTTGAGGGAAGAAGCAGCACCGCGTGCTGTTTGAGGGGCTCATGGATCGAATCAAATACATGCTGCCGCCGCCAGACACGGACGAGGTCAGTGAGAGTCACTGTCTTTTCAGTACCGCATCCAGACTTCGTCACTCTCTCCCTCTCCCTTTGAGAGAAGCAGCAGCACCGCATGCTGTTTGAGGGGCTCATGGACCGGATCAAGTACATGCTGCCGCCCGCTGACATGGACGAGGGGAGCAGTACAGCCGCTGCCAGCCAGCCGTGATTCACATGTATTATCCCTTGCTCACAACCACACACACTTCCCTCTCTCTGTCTAAGACCGCGTGTTGTTTGAGGGGCTCATGGACCGGATCAAATACATGCTGCCGCCTGCTGACATGGATGAGGTGAGCTGCGATGCGAGCCATGAGCTGCGATGAGACGACTCAAAAGTGAGCTGGGAGACGACTTTTGATTCGACTCAAAATTGAGCTGGGAGGCGAGTGCATTGCTTGCTCTGAGGAGACGCTCTCTCTCCATTGCAAGTCCTCGTTCATCGTTTCTTCCTCCATCGTTTCCCCCTCCTCTGGAATTCCGCACACGTGCCCTCAGGTGATTGGAGCAGCGGTAATGGTCTACACCCACACTGCTGTCAAGCTCTCTACACTCTCCCTGACCTTCACCGGGCGGCAAGACATGTCCCGATCTGTGAAGCTGCCAAAGGAGCAGATCGACCGACTCATCCACATGCTGTCAGACGAGCACAAGTGAGTCAGACGAGCACAAGTGAGTCAGACGAGCACAAGTGAGTCAGACGAGCACAAGTGAGTCAGACGAGCACAAGTGAGTGTGATGGCATAAATAGTTATGCTCGCATGAGTAAGTGTGTATATCTTTCATTCCTGTAAATGAGTCGGTTAATTTGTGAAGCTGCCCAAGGAGCAGATCCACCGACTCATCCACATGCTGTCCGACGAGCACAAGTGAGTGTGTTAGTTCAAGTTTTTTTTTTTCTTTTTGTGCATGATATATGCTGTCAGACGAGCACAAGTGAGTCACCAAGCATAAGAAAGTGTGTTAGCATTGGTGAATGCGTGTGTCTCAAGCATATCTTTTAGTCCTGTGAGTGACTCAGTTGATATGTGAAGCTTTGGAAGGAGAAAATTGACCAAACCTTTTGCATGCTGTCAGACAAGCATAAGCCTGTCAGTTTTATCAAGTCATAATTTCCTCTGCTTATGCTGTCCGACGAGCACAAGTGCGTGTGCATAAGTTATATCATCTAGTGTTGTCAATGGGTCGGTTGATCTGTGAAGCTTCCCAAGGAGCAAATCGACCGACTTATCCACATGCTGTCAGACGAGCATAAGTTAGTCACTTAGCTTAAGTAACTTTTTTTGTTGTGCATATGTTGTTCATGCACACCAGAATAACTGTCGCATGCCAAGCGACCACGTTTTCTAGCATGCTAACCTCTGCTTCCTCCCTGCTCGTGCCTGTCCCATCTCTCCCCACCTTCCAGGAAAGTTCTCTTCAACGTGGCGTGTCGCAGGCTACGCCTAGCCTTTCAGATTGCCACGGGGCACTTCCAGCCTCAGACCGTCGGTGCTGCAACTCCCGCTGCTGCCAGTGCCAGCAGCACCAGCACTGGCGGCGGCAGCAGCAGCGGTGGGGGTGGGTATGGGCCGGTGTACCCTTTACAGAGTCGCATCAACGATGTGATTTTCATCATGCATGAGGCTCGGAACGCTCCCAAGGTCCGGGAGCTGTGTCGTGAGTGGCTGGCGGCTCGGAGCGTTGTGATTGACAACGTGGAGAGACACTCACAGCCTCACTTGCTCCCTCATCAGGCATGGCCTCTCGGGCACGGGGCACAACCACCGCAAGCCCTGCGCCAGTAGTTTGATGCCAATTGGAAGGAATGCCGCTGGGTGTTAGTGTGACCATGATCCCCCCCCCTACACGATTCTGAATACTACCAGTACCGTCATCGCCCGGATATAAGACATATATGTCTTATCTCATACACTAAAAAAAATGCTTGGGTTATCTTGTATTTGGGGAGGTTTTGGGTGTCTTATATGTGTTATAAATGGAAACTTTTTTAAACTACTTAGAAATATTTTCACACATCTTGAAAAGAGTTTCTCATTATGAGTGTGGATGTTGCGAAGGTGCCACTTCGGCAACCATTGTTCGGGGTGCCACGTCATGGAGAATACTTGCAAAGGCAAATTTGGTAGTACGTGAGTCAGCACATGGCAGAATTCGCGTGTCGCAAGGGTAAAAATGTACGCGGAACTTCAATTTTCACTATAATATATTGCAGTTTCGATTATAAGACACATATGTCTTATCTCGTACGCACAAATAGGTGTCTTATAATGAGGCTAGCCTGTTTATAAGAGACACCCGTAAAATAGACAACCCCTGTCTACTATTCAACACTGTCTTATATCCGGGTGATGATGGTAGATTGTGAGGCACTTTTCCCCGCACAGCCACCTCAAGCCTTACCGTGTGCATTCCTTACGGAGCCCAACTACATCGCGTACAGCAACAGCCGTTGTTCGCCCGTTACTGCTAACGAAACTTCGCCGACGTCGCGCGCACTGTTTCACCAAACCTCGCACTGCTGGCCCGGCCGTGTCGGCCTACGCTTCGGGACTAGCCCGAGCCTCGCTGCCAGCATAGCACTAACTAGCTCGCACGCACCGCGTTACCTTTTGCATGCTTCGCATATTAATGTTCGCTCATGCCTTCGCTCACATCTTGGTACTCGTTTGACACCTTAGTGCAATTCTCGCTACTTCGATTCATTGCACCCGTACCGTGACACTTGGTATTCAGAGCCCCTTTCTTTCGGACCGCGCATCTCCGCACCCCAGGAAATCAACTTTTGATTTTTCATTCGAAGGGACTTACGTACCTTAGCACCTAGGAGCCGCTGTCCTCGCGTTCTCTCGTAAACGCGTGCAGCCACGACTGCGCCTAGACTAAGACGAGCCGACGTCCTTCGAAATGGCCGAACACATCGACGTCACGACTCTCACGCAGGAGCATTTGAACGATCTGCTGCGACAAATTCGCGAGAGCGCCGAGGAAATTGCGACGCTGACGGCAGTATGCTCGTCCCTGCAAAACGACCTCACGAGGGCACAATCCCAAGCACCTGGCACTCCGATTCAGCCCGCACCACAGACATCACAGCACGGAAGTGTGGGGCAACCCGCGAGCGCGGCCAGTGATGGCGTCGTCCGCCCCGACGGAGACGACGACCACGGCACGACACACCCTGGAGCGACGAATGCGGCCCCAAGTCAACCTCGCGTCACGATTTCGGCACCGATCCACGATTCGGGACTGCCGTCACCGATGCCGCTGAAGCCGCAGCGTCCGCCATGCTTTGAC